CTTCGAAGTTCGAGGATAACTGTTTCTAATTTAGCACATTCTGTTTCTGTCTCCCTGTTATCATAATCCTCCCTTCGTTTCATGATCTTTAAGTGACTCCGGTAACAACTCAACAACCAACATTTTTGCCGCTTGAGTCAACTTGATTGTGTAAATGTCCATATTAGGCCTTTATCTTACAAGATTCCAACCAGCTCAATGTGCGTAGATAGCTGATTGAAAGCACGCAAAAGTGATAGCCAGCATCAATTTTGTTCATATGGTTACTGGTTCTATTCAAATATATCAAAGGGAAAGGATGTCTCCAAAAGTCGAGAGAGCACAGGTGTATGCTACCGAGCGCGTCCCCAATTCGCGAATAGGGGAACAGCCGTCATCTGGTGGTTAAATGTGAATAGGGTGGGCTTAGGCCCCGAATAAGCGGTCGCGGNAGACACAAAACACCACACCTCTGTAGACAGCGCTGGGACGTGCCGAGTGCGGCCTGCCCCTTGTCGAAATCTAATGTTCGACAAGGTTTTTCAGAGAAGGCGAATGAACTGATCACTTGATTACGTAAAATCTAGAGTGCATCCAGGAACAAAGCATACTCTGGACCGGGCAATCGAGTAGTAAAACAGACCACAACGCATAGTGATGAATTTCTTGAATCTTACGTCTCTCCAATCTAGTTTTTTTACTCAACCATTATTATTCTGCACCGCACACACGTTTATATTTCCCCGTCCCTCCCCGATTTTATTTTCAACTCCCTAGCAAACCACCTCTCTCGGGTTCTTCAGACGATCGTACTAACAGTAGTGCCTCAGACGGAAACTCCGCAGCTGTTCTCTCCTGTCCTACTTATTCACTTTACGGCGGCTAGCTCCTGGGAGAGGATAAGCCAGCTTCATGGATATCAAATGAATATCCATGAAACTTCTTGACAGTTAGGTACAGGAAACGTCCCCAACGTCATTAGTGTCCCGGGTTCAAACCACTCCATCGTCACCCGTCTTCCCTATATCTGTATTTTCCCCAGGCAGCCTTTGTATGGCCGCAGCCCCCTTCCTGAAAGTTGACTGTACATTTGTATATTCAATTAATAGAAAAAAAGAAGTAAAAAGACATTACATTTTCATTGTTGCATCCAAACAGCTTCTTGGAGTCACAGGAGAGAACTGAGCACTTGATGGAGACCAAAGAACGGAGGATGCCCCAAAGGGGCCGACAGCCCTCCAAGTCAGAGGTGCTACTCCTACTGGGTGCCCTATACACCCCTTGTATCCTACTTCGACTACTGTCCAAGTATCACTGAATCCTCCACCAACCTAAACTCTTCTTCGTCCTGGATGCCCAGTTAAGATAGTCACATTAAACGTGCGTTCCCTGGTGCTCATAGAACAGATGTGTTTACTTCGTACCCTGGCCATCGATCCGTGTTGTATTCGAGAAACTCGCATTTAGGACTCCTGCTGCATTATCCGATTGACGTCCCAATCAAACTCATCTGCGACAGTAAGTCTTGCGCAGCGAGATTTGTGCAAATTAAACAGTCGTCACCCCGACAGATGAAAGTTGTTTGTCGTGTCGCCGTAAGTTCCAACGTACTACAGCCCAAATTCAATCAAACTTGACTTTCATCATAAACTACAGGACTTCTTGCGCAAGTGAACAGGGCTGGTATAGTAATTTTAGCAGGATATGAATGTTAACCTAGACCGGTACACTTCTAGTGAGGTGCATCTCGGAGGTCCGTTCGCACTAGATTCCGGTCGTTCGGAAAGCGACAGACGGCGGTTGGCTCTGTGTTCCGACCATCGCCTATTCTTCGCCAGTACGAACTTCAGACGTCCCAACTGCCGGTAAGCCACATCGCGTACGCGATTCTCGAGTCAGCGAGGAACGCCAATCGACCACATCGCTAAAAGCCGCAAATGGTGATCGTACCGAAGCACTGCTCGCGTATGGTGGGAACATCCGGTGAGCAACGGCGGACCCGTCGTTGTATTTTGGACGTGGATGGTAGTTCTCTAACAGAAGTAAGTGCTATCAGTTCAGTTCAGTTCTTACAACCATCAACCATGCACCTTTGTGGGCTGGTTTTGGTTACCCATTTGGATAAAACAGGAGAATGATGATTAGAATGTTGAGAGCAGATTCAAGCGGGATATATATATATATATA